AACAATTGAAGGGTTTCAGTAATTTGCAATGTATCAAGTGGGTATGTTAATTGTTGTAGACCCAAATTTTCAGGATTTCGACGCTTTTGATTAACATAATAGCTCACTTTTAAACTATTTGATTCAAAAACAATTTGTTTTTCAATAACAATTTTAGCTTCATTAAATTCTATGAATTTAATCAGCTTATACAATGCAACAATACATCCATCATGATATAATGACCAACCAACTGGCAATAATAAACTTTCATACCACAGTTTTGATTCCTTTAATAAATCATATGAACTATGAAGTTAGGTAGGTATATATAAATTAAATAATCAACATGGTCTATTATGACAATTAATCACAAACATACTATTAATGTTGGTGTTTGACATAATATCTTAGGCTTGGGTTCACCAAAAAATTCTTTCCTAAATGACTCAGTAAAGGTGTACAAGATTCTTGAGGTTCTGCAGGCAAATCATTTGTTATGTGAATATCAAATGGTGAATTAAATACTGATGGAAAAGCACCTTTTTTAGCCCAATTAAATTCCTTTTAAACTGTGTATAGAAATATTGAGTTATAATTTATAATTTATAATGACCAAGTAGGTACTTATATAGTACCTACCTAACAGGGGCGTAGCGTGCATGTAAGCACTGTAAGCACTGCTTACACTTTAAATGAAAGAAAAAATAAATTTGATCAATCACATTAATGGTACATAATAAATGATTTTTAAAATTTTAATTTTATTTATAAAATATTTAAGTTATAGCTGGTAGTGGTTTTTGTTATTGTTTATTTGTGTCGTACGCTGTCTACTGATTACCAACTATTTTAAGAAAATCATCGATTGTAGGTCTATTTTTAATCCATTCTGTATTATGTTAACTGCATAATCATAATACGATATACAGTGTAACACATTCTGAAATTGCTTACGCGCAACTGTTGTTTTCGAATAGTCTATAATGCCATAGTGGGGGTCACGTATTTAACTAACGTTTGTATAAGCACTTTTGATTTTGCTTACGCGAGAAACAAGGAGCGACCAGTACGTAGCCCGACGCGTTGTAGACTGTAGTCGTTTTTACGTACACTGTCACTGTCATTCGCCTAATAGACTTTTGAAGTATATTTCAATTTCTTTATTTTCTCGAATTTGATTTGTACAACTAGTATATTTTTAAAAATATTAAACATTTTAAAAGGATAACATTTTTTTATACATAATTTATAATTAGGTATTTAGGTATAGTACCTATATAGTATATTCTAATCACTTTTGAAAAAAAAAATTTCACTGCTTACATCTTTTTAATACCCACGCCACGCCACTGCTACCTAAATTACTAAATACAAATAATTATGTTTTCTTACTTCCAAGTCATTACACCTACTATAACTGTTAATCAAATCTTCTTTCCTAAAATGTTCTATACAGACGTATGTCACTTTACGTTTATGATTACCATTTACTTCATTAATAATTTCCTCCCACGATTCTCGAACTTTAAACAACTGAACATTGGACCGTGCGTTAGTGGTACATAAAAATACTGAACACTGGCGAGGCATTTTAATTTTATAATTTTTACACAAATGTAGAAAATAGTCATAACTATTTAAATAAATCAAGCAGTAGATCTAGACGCTCTAGTAAGTAGTAAGTAAATTTCTAAAGTCTAAATACTCTACTATTTACTAATGGAATGAATATAAAATATGCAATGAGACCAATGTAATTTATTTTTCTGTGGCAATGTATTTATAGAGAAGTAATGGTAGATGAGCTATAAGCCTACTAGATAGCGCTAGGTGTCCCACATGTACCTATTGAAAACATTTGGTATCCAGCCCTCTACCACCCTCCAGCCTTATCGTTACCAGTCCTGTATATCTTAGTCCGTGACCTAGACTGACATACCGTCCCCGCTCAGAATCGTTTTTCTTTTATAATGATATTATATCATTGAATTCAAATCTAATACCATCCATTATACAGTGACCCACTTGTAACCTACTGTACAGCAGAGCACTTTTAAATTTCATTTTTTTTTTAAATGTTTTTTTTAAACCCCGATGAGGGGTGGGCTGTGGACTGGGAAATATCGTGAAATGAATAGTGGTATGTTGTTAAAAAGAAAAATCATCATTTATCTGTTGCGCTTGGATAAAAAAATCGAAAATATCCCTAGACTTGTTCTGAAAAACAACCTATAGTAGGTCACAAGGTAAAATCAAATACATTATGAGTGCACCTCAAATCCGTGCAGGGTCACTCGCTAGCACAAAAAATATAAATTTAAAAATTAATTGTTTTCCGGGTTTTTTGGTATAGGTACCATTAAAAGTTAGTACCATAGGTAAAATGTGATAGCTTCAAAAACTAAAGCGTAACAAAAAATTACTTAAAAAGAAAATTTAGTTAAAAAATTAGTTTTTTGTTATTTTTATCAAGGATACTATGATGTTTTAAAAAATCAATTGTTTTCCGGTTTTTTTGGTATAACTTCCGTAATAAAAAAGAACGATAATTTTTTCAAACACATTCAAATTCAGTTTTAAAACACACATTATGAAAAAAAAAAAAATTGAAAAACGAGCTTGGGCCGTAAACTAGTTTTATAGTTTATACCGAAACTTAAAAGTAAAACCTATACCATTATATTATATATTATAATAGTAATAATATACTATACAGTAAATATATAGTATAATATATTATACTATACTATACAGTGTCAGGCCGTCTTTACTCAGAATTATTTTTTATAGGTATTACTGTGTTAGGTAGGGAGGTAGGTAGGTACACAATTACAAATTCAATAATAATTTTATATCATTGATTTCAAACTTGGCCCATATAACATTTTCTAATATAGTGACCTACACGACAACCACTGTGGTACACTTGCGACTTGTCCACTTTTTCATATTGTACAAATGCAATCAAAATGTTGAACACCGAATAGTGACTATTATTAAAATAAATTGGTACCTACATGTAAGAAAATTAAAATACATTTGTTCAATAAATTTGTCAGAAAGTTATGTTGTTTGCCAGCAAAGCGAGCTGCTTTGTGTGGTTTTGTGTATTAACTTTTAAATGAGTTTGATGAAGTGGGTGGGCTTTAGCTAGAACTAGAATTGAACCACCTTTTTTCAACTGAACTCTACGCAGTGCCACTGACTTTAAGTTATAATAGTATAAGTATAATTCTTTGTCCAAAATTCAATTTTTATAATTCAAGATTAAAAATACAATTTTTTTAAAACTTTTTGAAGTACCTATAAGAATTATTTGATAAAATAATCACCTAGTGTGTACATGAATACAATTGACTCAAATAAAATAATCACATAGGTACGTAAACTAAAAAATAATGAAATTCCTATGTTATCCAACTGGTTATCTTCAACATTTGCGATGATTGATGATATCACTCATATCACTGAACTAGGGATTTTTCGGGACATCCGGAGACAGATGATGAACGCGAGTTCTGATATATGATAGTATAGGTACCGCCTTATACTTTTTTTTTATCAAACTTGTATATATTTAATTATAAAATGTATACAATAGGTATGATATTATTTGTAATGGTTGTTAATTTACATTTTTTTTTAAATATATGTATGTATAGGTATAGTAATTAAATTAATCTATTCTATAAATTGTTGATTTATATAAAATGCTCTAACTAAATAACATATAAAATTGACGATTACGATCTAATAATTATTATTATATATGGTTAAATATGTTACACTTACATAAATAGTTACATAATAGTATTATGTTAAAAATAATTTTACATTGAGTCAAAAATGTACTGTGCGTTTTATATAATGTACAGCTCTCTTGGTTTTTGTAATTACATAAAATGTACAGGAAAAATAATTAACATGATCATATATATGAGGCTATACTGAACTTTAAAATATAATTAACAATCACCTCTAAATAAAGAATATACAAGAAGGTCATTTTGTATTATGATAAATAATATATATTGAAAAAAAGTCCAATAAGATATTATGATCTGCAAAATTGGTAATCAAAAAATATTTATTTTACCTAAACTATAATTGTATAACAATAATTGGTACATTTAACAGTGCCTATTGGTTAGCATACTAAAATTAGTTTTTGAATGTACATACCTAAATTTGTTAAAATGTATTAATATTATTGTTTATAGTCTAAATTGAGTAAATTTATGACGAGTTTGGCATGTGCATAGTACAAGGTGTTTGTTTTATTTGTATCATTATTAGTTGCCTACTTATTGGTGTTTGGAATTACGTGCAAACAAATTTTGAGCAATAATAATGTAGTCAAAGGCTTCATAAACGATAAATGTTGTTTGAAATACCGTTTTTATAATAAGAAACACGTAAATTATTTTATAAATAAAAGATGGAATATTTTTCGAAGACGTGATGTTCAAGTACAAGCGTATGGCTATAACCTACTAGGTATATATATAAATATCAAAGAAGTAGGTTTTATATACTTAAGTAATACCGGTAATATAAAATAATATGTAAATCGTAAATAAGTGGGTTTTTTAGTTTTCTACCAGTTAAAATATTACTAGTATACTAAGTTTTTATTACAAAGAAGCTATACTTATAAATACATATATAGTTAATAATATACAAAAAACGTTCAAAAATATGATAAGAGTGGGGCAGATATATATCGTAGAATATAATATTTAATGGTAGGTTAGGTATGTATTATATTATATGGGTGTATGATATAAAGATATAATATAATATTAAGTATGAAAAAAGTCTTTAAAAAGAAGAAATAATTGGAATAAAGTAGGTGGGTATAGCGCTGTTTAACACGAACCCGCGTAAATTATATAAATATTATCATATAGAGATAGGTAGTATTTTATCGTAAACGGTTATAGTTTGATATTATATATTATATAGGCGTATCGTGTTGAGGCGCACGTCCGGAAGCGTATTGTATTGAATTGTTTGATTTAGTCATAACTTTCAGATTCTTGTTGGACGAGCTTGAACCTCCTAGGGCTCTTGACGTTCACCGAACCGCAATGGTTGTTCAATATCAAGCCCCGTTTCGACAGGTATTTCTTTATGTAACGGCACACTAGTTTCTGGGGTCTCTGCTGCCATTCGTCCAGCACCTCTTTGGGGTAGTGGATCTGTAAGTACAAACGAATTCGACACTTGTAACACAATAATATTATATGATAATTAAAAATATAAACAACATTAAGGGATTAAAAGGAATTTTTAAATTTAAGTATCTCTGTTGGCAGAAAAAGAGTGATAATTAAGGTAAGTGAAGTCACAGGATTTTGGGGAGTGTATACGTCATGATAAAATAACAGTTCTAATTTGTATATCTGTACCTATTCATCTGTTTTGAATGTGCTTATAAATATTATTACTCACTAAAATATGTTAATCTATTATCTATAGGTAGGTACAGTTCAAAATAAAAAGTTTAAAGCTTAAGACAAACAATTATTCGATCTTAAGGGGGCTCCAGCGTATCATGTTTTAAGGAGTAATGTATAGGCAATTCAAGTGACATGTACATTTGGGCTGTGTTTTTCTCACGTCGGGCAACCACTGCCCGATGCAACTCTCGTACACGCACAATTCAATACTTCGTAAAAAATGAAAATAAATATATTCTTGTTTGCACAACTATAAAATCTACTAAAAGTGGTACTGTGGTAGGAAATTTAACATACTTCCTAAAGATCGATTGTAATTTCGAAAAAAATGGTTGAATTTATAAGCTTCTAGAATAATATTATGCTCATTGCTCTTTAGGAATCACTTTTTTGGTTTAAAATCAGATGTGCCCAAAAAAAATACAAATGTAATGCAATTATTCCATGGGATTTTTGAAAAACAATCTTAATATTTTAAGGTCTTTTAAAAAAGACTTCCTAAAAAGTCTAGATATTTTTTCAAAGAATTCTTATATCAATAAAAAAAATAAATCGGATATTCCGAAGTACGTGTAATTGACCACCGCTTATTCGTCTAAAACGTATGAAATAACGTGTGCAGCCATTCCCTATTCAAACTATTTTTACAAACATTAAAAATTCGAATATTTATACAGGGTGTATCTTATGTCATTGTACGCGGGGTTTTTTGACGATTACGGAACGATGATATGGAATTTCGTTAAAACGAAAAAAGACGTGTTTCTTTATTTTTAACAAGCAATTTTTTTATAACAATTTCAAAATTTTTAAACACGCAGGTGTACCAATAGCAAAATCAACTTTTTTTTTTCAAATGGTAACCACTATATTTTTTAATGGATTCTGGTATAGCTTTTTTTTCTGAACATTTTGGTAGTCGAATCGTCAATTTTGGTTCTCTAGTTTATTAACTATGGCCCTCCAAAGATAAGTAAAATATGCATTAATACTTTTAATTAAAATAATGGGTATAGGTTAAATTTACAAGCGCTAAACAATTTTTTCTTATAACTACCATTTGATACACTACAATTGTTGAATCGGTAATCTAATGACACCCTCAAAAAAAAAAAAAATAACAAACATAATTGTTTGTAAACATACTTCATTATTTTTATTTTAACATACGATCATAAAAATCAATATTATTATTTTAATATCCAAAACTAAAAAGGATGGAAAAGGATGAATTACAACTCCTAAGTTCATACTTTGGATGCGATACCATTTTAGGGAATCTATGGTTAAAATATCACGTTTATACTTTATAGTTTATACCACTACGAAAAGAGCACCACAAACATTGCACTTTTTTCGTTGCACATATTAATGTCAACAATCGAATACCATTTACCAATTTACCATTATTACCTTAGCTACCTACCTAATTAAGAATTAAAATTTATGATATTGTAAGAAAAGTAACTGTGATGAAAAAAATGTAAGGTAATTAATTACGATTATAATAATTAATTAAAATAATAATATTGATTTTTATGATCGTATGTTAAAATAAAAATAATGAAGTATGTTTACAAACAATTATGTTTGTTATTTTTTTTTTTTTGAGGGTGTCATTAGATTACCGATTCAACAATTGTAGTGTATCAAATGGTAGTTATAAGAAAAAATTGTTTAGCGCTTGTAAATTTAACCTATACCCATTATTTTAATTAAAAGTATTAATGCATATTTTACTTATCTTTGGAGGGCCATAGTTAATAAACTAGAGAACCAAAATTGACGATTCGACTACCAAAATGTTCAGAAAAAAAAGCTATACCAGAATCCATTAAAAAATATAGTGGTTACCATTTGAAAAAAAAAAGTTGATTTTGCTATTGGTACACCTGCGTGTTTAAAAATTTTGAAATTGTTATAAAAAAATTGCTTGTTAAAAATAAAGAAACACGTCTTTTTTCGTTTTAACGAAATTCCATATCATCGTTCCGTAATCGTCAAAAAACCCCGCGTACAATGACATAAGATACACCCTGTATATTATAAAACATGTATAAATAATAAATCAATCGATTATCCATAAACTTTTAGACTATTTATTTCTGTTCACGGGTATATGAATATATATTAAGGTAGAAAACATATAGCGGATATAATAATATAATTTGCATCGTATATATCTGTACCACAGAAGTCAAGTAACGCAAGTCACAAAAAGCAAATTTTACAGGAGAAACCAAAAATATTTGTTGCAATGGACTTACAATTGTATACTTCAAAAATATTATTTTGTATTACTTTTCTTATGTATCAAGTTGAACATACGTTTCTATACTCCTATCATAGTTTAGGATTTAAGTTATTATACTTCTTACTATCTATTTATTGTATATAGGACTTCCGATTTAATACCTTTAAAAAGATCACAAAAAGCATATTCTGATTATATAACTAATTCAAAATTTCAAAAAATGGACTTGTGTTAGATGACTTCTGTGGTACAGTATTATATTCAATCGTATTCAATATTAATTAGGAATATTAATGAACATCAGAACATATTAATTAGGTGTCATTAGTCCATTATTATTATTTAATATTTCAGCTCTAACCTCTAGCTGAATATTTCTAGCCATCCTCCTGTAATGTACTTTTGTAAGTTGTAAGTACCAAAAGTTTAAAGTGAAACTACCGATATTTCAATAATATTTTACCTGATCTCCTTTTAGCCGGTCCAACAGGGTGACACAAACCACGGCTGCTTTAATCCCTGCATGGTGCGTTAGTGCTGCGAAAGCTAAAGATTCCATCTCGATATTCCTCACACCATTAAATTTTAATTTTTCTAAGTATTCCATTCTTTCTTCTTCTGTGAAGTCGCAAAATGCTCCGTCCATACGTCCTTGACCTACGAAAATGTAATTAATATTAATCTACTTACCGATTTCACAGAGAAACATAATTATTATACAATCAATACTTCTTTTATAAAACATTTCAGTTGACTCCTTGTGTTTTATGTACATACATTATACGTAGGCGTATACTGTATATGTACATTGTCCAAACAATTAAATTACCGCAATATCGTTATCTTTAAAATGTTTTGATTACATTTCGGCCTTTAAAATGTTCATAACTCTATACCTATCGGCTATCGAGAAGTTAAGATGAGTTAAAAAAACCCATCGAGCTTGTTAAATATAAACCACTAGGCACTATAACCAATATAAAGGAAATTCTTCGCTTCAATTTTTAATTTTTAAGAGGACGCCACACCCGCATGTGTTGTCTCCGTCTTACAAATGTACAACATAGCAAAAACTCTTTTGCGAGGGACAACTTTTCTCGAACCATATTTGTTGTAGAACTACCAAATTTTCACAGCATTTAAAGAAGAACGTTATCTGTGAAACAGCGTTCCCATATTTTAAATAACATATACACAATACAAGTTATTTGCTTCTAAACATTTTGTTTTTTCATTTGCTTATAAAAAATGATTGGATGGTGCTATTGAAAAAAAGAGCACGCTGTTGCACAGATAAAGTTCTTCTTTAAATGCTGTGAAAATTTGGCAGTTCTACAACAAATATGGTGCGAGAAAAGTTGTCCCGCGCAAAACAGTTTTTGCTATGTTGTACATTTGTAAGACGGAGACAACACATGCGGGTGTGGCGTCCTCTTAATGTTTAAAGGAAAAATTAATATTATACATTTATGAATTATCTATATATACAAAAATTAAATTATTATTCAATTTTAATTTTAAAATTAAAATACTCGTATCCATTTTTTTATCTTGCTATTAATATTCTAGATTATCATTTGAACGACATATATATATATATGACGTATTCGATATTGTTTTTTTATCATTTGGACTTTCTAGTTTTAGAGAAACACTTTTTTGTACAGAATAGAAGGCTAAGCCAGATGAATATTACATAGGTATAATTATTATTAATAATTGATATGTTAATCGATATTTTTGTCAGTTACACATTCCGATTTATAACATTGGGCTATAGCTATATTGCTATAAAACTATAGTTTTTACTTTATAAACTCGGAGTGCTGGCCATCGTATAATATTGTGTGTGGTATTTCAGTTACTGTAAAATATCATGTTAAAAAGATGATTGAACGTTGAGAAGTGGTAACATTTACCCATAAAAATGTAATTAAACATGTTTGTCTTGGCTTAAGTAAAATAAAATGTGATAACCTTACGGCCTACGCCAGTAACGTATCTATGATTTTTTTCAATGGGGGGGATATACAATTTTTAATGGACATTCAGTATACACATATTATATTCATATTATTATGTACATGTTGTATTGTGTACAAAATTTGGTCTCCTAGGGGGATTGACCACCATACCCCCCCCCATAGATACGGGCATATGTAAACTCCCCTAAATTTTTGTAAATTCCCCTAAAACTATTTTGCTACTGTGTTACGCTTACGTAAATTCCCTTAAAAACATTTTGCTACCGTATTACGCTTACGTAAATTCCCCTAAAAACATTTTACTGTTTAAACACAGTAATTACGTGTACCTACCTATTTATTTATTAAAATGTCAACGTCGCAAGGGCATAATTATGATTAAATATTATGATATTATGATTAAATATTTGCTGAGATATTAATATAAGATATAATATAATATATAATATATAGATATTAATAATAAGTTAAAAAGACGACAACAATTATTAAACCAACTAATACAAAATTATAAAGATCAAAAAATAACTAAATTTCATTATATAAAACAATTTCACATAAAGTACTCAATCAAAAAATAATCAACACTTAATAATTTTAATAAAACTAGAATGACGATGTCACGATGAATATGAATTTTTCTAAAGAGTTGAAATTTCTATAAAGAAAAAAAAATATTTTTGGAGGATAACTAGAACCGCCTCCACTTGGTGTCCACTGGGTTACGCTAAATGGTTCTAATTTTGTTTAGGGGAGTTTACGTAAGCGTAATACGGTAGCAAAATGTTTATAGGGGAGTTTACTATTAGGGGAATTTACTATTTAATTTTTTAGGGGAGTTTACATTTGCCCATAGATACACCACTGGGCACTGACCTACGCCAACCAGTAGTTCGATTTCTGTCGATTTCATGCCGTTTTAGTTAAATTAAATTAATGATTGCTTAATATTTGCTATAATTTTTTTTTTTTATATAGTAGGTAGCAATAATATATGTAATTAAAAGTAACCGAAACTATTATAGCCTTGATTCAATTCTTTAAGTTTAATTCGCACTAAGCAGTATTTAAATTTTATTTTATTGATACATTTCATAATATTATTACCTATTAAATATTAGCTTCCCTGATAAATGTATAATCATTAATCACAATATATAATAAACTACCTGTCTTTACACTTTAAAAATATAAATTTAACAATTTATCGTAAAAGAAAATTAACCTACAAATTAAACAAGAGGAAATATTTTATAATTAGATATGTTATTAATAGTTTATCAGTAGGGGTCAAAGTGTGGGGATGAGGGAGATAGATCTCACCCAAGACTTCTTTTTCAATATTTATAACAATTTATATTATAAATATATGCATATTGTATTATATATTATTTTTTTCTAAAAACTGATAATATTATTACTTAATCAGTTTTGTAATATAATATTGTCATGGCGATATCATCAATAATCAATTGCTTTTCATACAGAGGTTCCTGCAGGGCGTCTAGAAACATTTCTTTCCATATAAACGATTAACGGGATGGCATTAATTAAGCCTTTACATCCGGAGGACACAAACTCTAGCAGCTGAAGTGGTATACGATAAGAAATATTTTATTATATCATTTTATGGTTTATACCTTCATAGAAGTCGCTGGTGCATACGGTCTTGCCGATCACTGTAGGATACGGGTCGTCTGGTTCCGCTAGCGATTTTAACTCCCATTGTAGTTTCTTATCAAGGACGGAACTCCTTTTCACAGTCTTGCCAAGAATTTGCTGCACGGGTAACATTAAACAAATTAACTATTAATTAATTAACCATCATGCGGGAAATACTCGATATACGATTTTAACGAATAATATAAATCATTGTATTATTATATTATGTAAGACTACTAAGGTATAACACACGTACTAATTCCAAGTGTGGTTGAAGGGTTCCGTCCACGGCCTCGTCGGAAATGATCACGGTCCCGCCTTCCAGTCCGATACCACCACTTGTACCTATCCTAAAGAAGACAGGATCTACGACTTTAGCGTGGAACATCAGCTTGATGATCTCGTGTAAAAGGATTCCCACCGAAGGCATGCCCATACCATGCTAAAAATAAAAACCATATAAAACAAAAAAACAATTTTTCACAGTGAAACGTTGAAATTATTTGGTTTATGGCGATGGGAACAAGGAGGCAAACATTATATTATATATATTATACATATAGACTGTGTAGATTAAAGACGCATAGTAATAAGTAAATACAGTTTTTCAATTAACGGTTTACTTTAATAATATTGTACTTACGCTTATACACAAGACAGGGCCAACTTTGTACATAGAGTATCTGTACGAATATCGACTGATGTCCTGCAACGTGGTACCTGTAGGTATTTTGTACGATATTTCTTCCATCAATCTATAAGCGAATTGTTCCATACGTTTTGGTGTCCCACCCATACACACAAACTATAAAAAAAAATACAACCTCTTTATTCCGATGTAAACAATCAATAAGATTTCACAACATTTTACAACATGCATAGAAAATAAATATCAATTAAGTATTTACTATTTAGAGATAATAATTGAAACATGCTGGAAAAATAAAACCAATAATCGATTATTTTAAACTTGTTAGTTAAGTATTAGTCTATTGCTTAATAATTTATTAATTATTTTTATTATTATATAAACATGCTTTCTTTTTATGTAAACTATTTTTAATTTATTATAAGTAAACACTAAACAGTTACTAGAGATGTTGCAAATGATTTTAAGAACTTCTTTTTTTTTGTATAAATGTGACTTTCCCAAATTCATTTTCATTAATTTTTATTTTCTATACATATTTTCTTTATCCATAGCCTTTAGAGGGTTTCGATTACGTAGGTTAGATGATTTTGAAATATATTAATTGGCTGTATTTGTATTATCATTACTATAAATGTGGCAATTACTGTCAAAACTGGAAGAATGAATTGGCTGATAGGCGATAATATGACTTAGGTGTTTCGAATTATCTGTTATTGATGCAAGTTTATAAAATTTTTAACACCTTATTTCCAGAACAATGAGAGCTGTTCAACTGTAACAATCTTATGTTAGTAAAATTGTTTTACACAATGCGACATGCGAGGTGTTTGTTTGAGATTATAATTAGTAGCGTCACCTTAAGTCAGTTTTTAATTAAAAATGTAATTTCACCCGAGGTCATGGGATTAGCTGATTTAAATATTTAATGGTTTCAAAAGTGTAACTGAGGTAGACCTGAATTAGTAATTCGTATAGTTTTGTTCAGTTAAATATCTATCATGTATAATTTTGTATATTTCAGAAATGTTTAAACTACTTAGTTAAGAGTAAAGACCATTATTATTTGTCTTCAATTAATTTGTCTATAATCTAATCATACTAATTATCCATACATCCATTATTAACGTTGTGATTATACTAGGTAGAACTAGAAAATTTTAATAGGTAACCTTATATATTAGTTTCCCGAAGTAAACCACTGATCAGTATTCAGTGGACTGCAGTGTATTCACGGGTATAGATATCATTATAATATTATATTTATATTGTTCAAGTTAATGCACTCATAAAGTTAGATTGCAGTGGTTTACCACAACTAATGGCAACACCTTTAAGCCAGGACCTAAGAAATGACTATCTTCACAGTACACATATTATTTTAGTATTTTTTTATTTCAAGATAAATAAAAATAAATATATTTCATTAAATTATCATTAGGCGCCTATTGTAAAACGTATATCCATTCGTATATAATATTTATACATTAAAAAAAGAAAAGAATAAACATTTTTAATGTTCTGTGATAAATCTACCCATAAAATATTTAAGAATTTCAAAATAATTAAAATACTCAAATTTAACTTGATAATGTATAGGTAATACAAGATATAAGTATTACCCATATATGTATATATTATATATGTGCAATGTGCGTGTGTGTATGTGCGTGGTATTGGTATTTTACTATACCAATTTTTATATCAGGTCAATTATATTTTCATGATTTTTTCTATAAACAATTTTTTAATTTAAACGTTGAATAGCATAAATCACTGAATAATTATTGTATTGATACACATTTCAATAAAATAACAAAAAATTAATTATTCATAACTATACCTTAACATCGCCGAACATGGCTCTAAGGTCATGTGAACCACTCCCTAGAGCCAAATGATACAATATATCTTGATCCATAAGATCTAGATGCGAGTTTCGAACCATAACAGTGCTCACATCCTCATACCTGTAATCATAACGAAATCAAAAAAACTTTACATTATTATTTTTTCATTGCTCAATAGTAGGTAATTAATAATATTTAAATATATAAACTCACAAAAAAAAAAATTACATTCAAACTTCATTGTGTCTTATGCATTTATAAATTATATATTTTTTAATTTATATATATATATTATTAAATAGGGGGTATCAATAGTTAGGTTAGTGGCTAGTATTATATTATATTAATTACATAATATATCCTATCGCATTTTATTTTAATTTCAGTTTGATTGAATAAGAAAGAAAGCTTGAAAATGTGAAAGTCAATACAGGGATAACTTTGCTATAAAGACTGTCTTTGCCGTATAATATACGCGTACCTACCTACTATATACACGCACTACAACTATATTATGTTTATTACCGTAATATATTTAAACAATGTAGTTCAGCTTTCGCTGAAATAGCAAAATACATTTTTTGTTGCAATAATTTTCTTCGACCGAAAAAAGTGTAATTTGTTCGTGTAAACAGTAGGTATATAGACATATTAGTATAAATAATAATAATCATACAAGCTCTTATACTCACATTATTATACATTCAATCTCAATTTACAAGAATATACGAGCGTGTTGTTCATTTTCACACACATTCAAAACAGGAATTTATTATCGCGATTCGCGACCACTACACTATAGGTATTGCTGTAGTAAATGTGTGTAGCTTATATATTATGTTTAAAGAATGACGGCCTTTTCTATGTTGTTGTGACCTATTAAAGGACGTCTCACTGACCATCGCGATAATCAAAAAATGTTTCAATAGACAATAATTATAGTATACGAAAACGTCGATTATTATTATTAATTTAGGGTTATGAGTATGAAATATTTCACATAAAATTTTCACTTTGAAATATTTCAAACTTGAAACTTTCATCCTTCTTGAAATATTGAAAAATATATTTTTTATTATGTTCATAAAATCATCACTAAATGGTCAGATTGATTTGATTTCATACCTGATTATCATAGTAATTATCGATAATTAATTTCTGATCTCGATGTAGAGATATATATATAAGATATATAAGATAGATAATTATTATATAATTTATATAATGTACGATGTAAGAAATATTTCAATAACATTTTCCATTTAACATTTGGATAAGTAGTCAGTAGAGGTGTTTACTGCACTTCCTATAACAGTTTTAAATTACAATTTTATTTTATTTAATTTTATGAAATATTTCAAAAAATTAATTTCGTTACATTTTAGAACACTGATTATTATTATTTGTTGTTGTTCATATAATGACATAATTTATGGAAAATTAAAATCGACCGACAACAAAAATTGTTTTAAAACGTTTCGACGATGAAGATCAGTAGAATATGCATTTCCTTGCATATCCACCGTGATTACTCCTCATTAGATCGTTCATAGATACCTACTATACCAACTACCATAATTGGCATGTGATTTTAGACCATACTGTATACGCGTTCACGTGTGCTTCAATTCTAACCAATTTATATAGGTAGGCCTAGCTATACCAGTTGTACTGTCTGAAATTTATTGGTCATGATGAATATTGTATTGCAACTATACAGTAATACTAATACGTATATACGCAGTGTACATAAAGAAGAAATAAAGAAACATAATATTATATTATATTATACTAAACACGTGCAAGGTTATTGGCTCATGTTTTTTCCTTTAACAGTTGTTAAATTATAATTAAAAATATATAATGTTATAGTAGGTATGTTGGTAAAAAAAACAAAATAAAATACTACCAAACGATGATTGAAAATAAGAGTGTTGACGAAAGAACAGTTGACGCGTTCATATTATAACTGAAGTCGTAGAAGTACATTTCAATAATTTTTAGTCAACGTGTTTAACTTTTTAATAATAACTAACAGTATGAAGTTTATTTTATGTAACTATAAATTATAATGTTTAAGGAGTTTTGAGATTTCGAGGAAATAACAGTTGTTACTTGCAGCGTATATATACTATATTGTAGTTCCGTTCCTTATAAAACTAGTATATTTCACAGTTAGAATTTTCAATATAAAATAAAATAAGCTGCAATATATACAACGGAAAGAAGAAATAAAATGATTTGTATTTCTTTTGAATAATTATTTTTGCAGGTTGACTAAAGCAAAGCAATAATAATGTAGTTTTCTCTTGCGTATACAACTTAAGAACTCGGAAACATTCAAATAGGATCTGTTAGAATCATTTCAAAATATTTTCCTGGTATATGAAAAAAATTATAAATATACTGAGTATTGTTTGTAGTTTTTTTTTGAATCATCAATTTGGTACTAAAGTATGCCATAGGTAATATTCAAGTAACTTATATGTATTCAATTGTTTTCGTCAAAATAATAACGATTTGACGGCATGTATTGTCGATATCAATATTTTCCAATTTTATTGACCAGTAGGAATATACAGATAATAGCCAATAGGTATAAATAATATAATAATATACATATAAATATGAATATTGGAATTTTAAAATAACCCATTTTCCATACCAACTGCATCCAAATAATTCCAATGTATACCTTTATATAAATCGGAGTAATCCAACACTCCGAAAAGTTGCGCAAACAAAAAAATACTTATAAGTTATAGCGGCCTCGCGCCTTTACTCATCAGAATTTATAATAATATTTAGATAAAATATACATAATTTATAACGATAGACAATATTGTATTTTTTGAAAGAAAATATATCTATTATAATTAGGTACATTATCATGCATATGTCATAAATAGTATATATCTACGAACTACGGGCTACGACCTTTCTGTTAGTTGTTACCTATTTATATATTACGCATAATGCATACATTAATGATTTTTAAATCTTAACCACAATCAGATAATAATACTGTATTATACTGTGTAAATTAAATTAAAAAAGGAATTGATAGCCTAACTTCTCACACATTAATTTTTAGGATATTATTATGATTTTCTTTCATTGAATAATCTGGCAAGTATGGGTGTTTGATAATATATTATATTATATGAAAACCACATAGTAGTATATTACTACCTAGTTAAAATCACCCAAAAGCTTAGGGTCAATTTCATAATAAAATTGAATAGGTACAGATAAACTTTAGCAAAGCATATATACCTAATCTGGCACATTATAATTTTTTAATTAAATTATAGTTACGTAGTAACTAAGTTAATATGCTTAAATTATAGAAGATTTTTATACTTTATATAGGTACCTACAATGTTTACAATAAACATATGTGTATGGCTTATTATTTGCTCTTCACACAATCTTTACGTAAAAGATTTATTCAAATATGATTTGTTTAAAATAATATAAATAAAATGTTGACTAGATAATCATTTTATATGTTAATAAAAAAAATGTACTCTAATTTTAAACGTTTAACAGTGTTACCTATTTGTATTTATCAACTCTTTTTACATTCAATTTGAAACTTTAAAATAAGATTATAGTAATTATTTTAGCACTTCTGTAGTAAATGCCTATGTATTTGAGGGAAAATTTGATTCATTATTTTTAGTCAAGACCGCGGAAACATTCACACTATTGATTTTTTACTCTCCGTTGTTGTATTATTTTATTCTTCGTTTCTATGTTGTCTGCAGGCATCAAAGGTGAAAAACATCTTACATTTGTTGTGTAAATTAAACTAAATTTGAATTAAAAAATCCCTTAAAAAGTTAAAAACAAGTAAATTCGTCTTCAACTTTTTTTTCAAGATTTAAGAAAATAATAAGCTTTTAATGATTTTTAAGATAATTATTTTTTATCATATTGATACTGGAAATTCCAACATTTACATTGAATGCACTTTTTATAACAATATTCCTTATAAAGTATACAGTTGTATAATGTACCTAATTATAAATTTTGAAAATAATTTAATATTTATATTACATTTCAATTTTCACATACCAAATATAATATTATAATAAACGTTTTTTTTCATAATATTATATATTTTTTTTTTTAATCTAGAAAATTAAACAATCTATACAAAAACAAATACAATAGTAAGAAACCATCCAGTGAAGGTACTTGGGCAATTATATTACATATATTCGTTTTTAAACAATAAACCACTCATAACGAGTATTACATTATTATAATATAGATACCTGCTGTGAACATTTTGGTATATCCGAGGACCGAGAATCGTTCAAACTATAATGTAATATCTTAAATTCTTAAGTGCGTGTGTAGGTGCCTAGCTTACATATTATAATATAATCAAAATATTACACTTGTGTACCTATATTAATATGATTATATCTAACATTAGTCTATTATTTTATATTTAGTTTAAAAAAAAAAATAATTAAAAATGTGAATATTTACGTGTAGAAATACAAATACAATAATGTAATCGTATCGTGCTTGTCTATATTAATTGTTTTGATTTTATTTTGTCATTAAAAATTAGTACAGACATACAGTGACTGGGCACTCAAAACAGTTACGAATATATACGTCATATTATTTTGGGACGAATCGCTTTATGATAATGTTATTATTTATTATTATGTCGAGTGCGAGATATATAACTCTTCAGAAACGTAAACAACTGTATTAAAGGTATATTAAATTTATGCATGTAACATAAACAATGCGATTATACGATCACGAACACGTTAGGATAAGTATTAATATTATACACGTTGCTATTAGAGATGATGCATATATTATGATTTATGTTGTTGTATAAGGACGTGGCACGTCGTTCAAATTTTGTTAAAATATTAATATCTTATGTGTATAATATTGTATACGGTCACACTTACTCGTCGTTCTCCTCTTGAAAGAAAGACATTGCGAGCAGTCTTCGGTCCGGCCCAAGCGAATTAAATTAGATTTATACTATAATATAGTATAATAAATAAATGAATTATTTTATAGTTGTTCGTAAATAGCGCAACTGAGGTTTTCTTCTCGCCGACGATAATCGTATAATACTGAGTGACGCCACCGATTACGCTAATATTCCTTCGGGGGACGAGTGGACGCGAATACTGAAAGGACTCGAAGAACACTGTACGCGGCGGTGGAACGAAAAAAAATTCGCCCGAACCGTAACACTTAACAGTATATATATATCAACAGTTGCACGCGCTTGCGGTACCCACTATTCCAACGAACACTGGACGTGTGGCGGTGTGTGTGTGTGTGTGTGTGCGAGTGTGTATAGGTGTGCGTGTGTGTGCTTGTGTTTATATGTGTGTGTGTGTGTAGTGTGTACGATTCGACCGAGGCGCATGCCCATCGTCGTTCGCCAGCTCGGCGGCCGACGTCGTCACCGTAAAACGCCGCCGCCGATCGATGCGATCCCAGTACTATATACATATACATTATAATATTATATGTAACATATATATAGTATATAGGCATACAGGGTGATTCACCAACTGTGTTCACCCCCCTTTTATCTTTTAACAACACATATTTTATTCGAATTACGGTTTTCGAATTTTTTCGTACGCCTACTCATAAAGACCATACTTAGATTTTTTTAACACTGAAGTTGTATTGTTTGTCAATTTTTACAGTAACACTATAAACTGTAACCAAATGTTGATTCGTCCAATTTGAATTTCTAACGATAGGTATTATAGGTAGTACCTAGTTTCTGAATTATTATTATTATTATTATTATTATTATTATAGTTTTACACATCAAATATCATAATATGATAATATGTAATATTTAACTGTTTAGTAGGTACCTACTACCTACTTAATTCTCAGACAATTTTTATAAAATTTATAATGCTAATAATTAATTACTACTCAGGGCTCATGACTTATTGCTTTAAAAAAGGTTGTTATAAACACAATAATATGCTCTTAAAAACATTCATACAAGCATAAGCGCTTAAATATGCACGAAAAATACTAAAATATGCAAAAAAAAATAATTAGTATAAAAAAAAATTGTTAAAACTTTTAGATGTTAAAAAAAATATATGATATTACGTCAGAATTATTTATTGCTTCGTAGTAATCAAATGTTTAGAAGGCTACAGTACTGAAATATTCACAAAAAAAGCAAAATAGCATTTAAATTTCAAAATATGCAAAAATGAGCACTATACAATTTTCTATTTAACTGCTTGGTGTTCTGAAACAAATTTAAAGTACTCATAGGTAGGCATCTTTAGAACCTCTTAAAAAATATGCAAATGCTAGAAGTTATGAGTCCTGATTATAACATATAATAGTTTTAAAATATAATTTCACACATAATATATTATGATCTTTAAACCTATTATCATATGGGCAATATCCTTAGTACACAAAGATACACATAATTCAGAAACCACTCATTTGTATTTCAATTCATGTTTACAATCATAAAAAAAAATCATATACATAACAATTTATAATAAAAATAGAGGTATAGGTATTAATTACAGAAAAATAGATTGGTGTTAATTTAAAAAAAAAAAAGTTTCTATCGCTAAAGGTGAAAGGACACTCCTTAAATTATATTAAAAATCTAAGTTGATAGTATAAAATGTGATCGTAAGTACAAAGTATATTTAAAAATTTCAAAAATCAGAATAAAATACATTCATTATTATTAAAGGAAAAATGGGTGAGCAAGCCTGGTGAATCACTCTGTATATATCATATTGCCGCTGTGTGTGTGCCTCCATCTTTCTCTCTCGCTCTATCTCACTCCCTTCGCCCTTGTGTCTACGATGACAATAGTTATATATTATAATGAGAAAATATATTTATTCCCTCTGAATTCATTCTCGCGAGTCATACATTTATTAGTCGTAGACTCACGCGTGTCGGCCGTCTTATAACCGACGTACTGTATGTCTGCGTATATACATTATACGCACGCACGCTGCGTATGCACTAGAACGACTACTGCAACACGCCGTCGAAGAGTGTGGTGATAATTATGTAAACGAATTGTGTTTACACCAGTACTGCAATTATTTATGAATCTCAACATTTCTTCGCTACTATATTATACTTTACGGAGTCGTGTCGAAACAATATATGATCGACTCTATGTCGATTATAATAACTAATAAGATACGCACTAGGCCCCTTCGTATTATAGTATCATATAGTATACAAGCGCACCCTGTACATTATAAACGCCCTGTACTTGAATGATAGAATACCAGTTTACATCAAGTATATTAAGTATAATAAGTGCTGTTCCCCAAACGCGTGTTTATATACTTTATGCACAAAGCACACGCGTGGTCATTTCATTAAATTGGGTTGCGAATATAGCATAATGGCGGGGAGGTGACGCGGTAGTATTAATTAAACGCTCTGGTAACTATATTGCACGATAATTAAGGTAATACAGACTTTCATAGGTATAGTGATTTTTCACCGTTTACATGTAGTATAGTGTCATAGTGACGGTGGACGTCGTTTCCGAGGACGTTTTGTGGGGTTCTGAGCAGAGCCATTTAGATTTTACTATGTACTTCGTTTATACATTTCGGGGTGGCCATAAAGTTAAACGCAGCACATTTCTCTATATTATAGAGATTGAATCTTACTAGATTGTAAGAAAAAACACGTTAAATGCACGCGGTCTTGTTATAGATCTATGAAAAACAGTCGTTTCTACATGCCACTCCCTAGTCCACAGACGATATCCATCCAGATCTACTTTCTTATAAGAACAACTCATGAGAAACTTTGTGTTACACATTCGAGTTTTTTATCAGATAAAAATATGTTTTTCATTAACATTAAAATATAAGGAAACACTAAAATTATTTTAAATTTCAAATAATTAAATACCTATTAGTTTCAATATTTTGAAAATATAGAACATTTTGTATAAGTAATAAATTATTATTTATTATACTATATTATATTATACTCGTAAGATTCAAGCTAGGTTATCTTGATGACCCCTGCAGGCCGCAGTTCTAAAATGGTTCATTTATACTTTTTTGTTTCTAAATATCGAGGTCCCAATAACACACCAATACACCATAATAATAATAATATATGACTATACAAATTATACTGCTCGTCCGTTTCTCTTCAAACTCTCGTTCAGTGTTCACTTCTATAGTTCTATCCTTCTATCTCTCTATCAATCAATCTCTCGTTAACGTTTGAAATCGAAAAATGTATAATGTAATTATGTATACTATATATATATATATATATATGCAGCTGCTGCAGCCTGCAGTAGACGGCTGCTGCTAATGAAAATGAACAGCGTCTCCGCATCTTACATTGTATAAGAAAATTAAGGCAACCTAATAAATTGTTTGTCACCCTGCACTCCAGGCCATATTGTGTAGTGAATGGTGAATGCCTTATATAGTAGAAGACGTTTTTATGACAGAGTCAGAAATTACGGTACACTGATCACGAATAATCGAAATTAAAATGAAATTCAACCGTTTTATATAATATAGTGAATAGTGATAATATTTTGTTTATTATTTAGAACTTTTTTTCAAAATCAATATTGATTTATTTTTAATTTGTACATACTTATATTGCAATATTGTACACTTTTTAGTCGTTGTACATAATATATATAATGTATTTAAATTTTCTGCCTGCATGCAGGCTATAATGTACATAAATACATAATACTTAGTAAAACACGAAAAATGTACCTATTAAAATAATATAAAGTCATCAATATCGACAATCTTGATTTTTTTTCCCTTTCGATAAACGTAAGGCATATTTCCAATGATACGCTTGTGACGGTTTTTTTTTTTATAAATACATACCTACTCATGATTGAATAAACTGTCAAGACGTTCTTCTATATTATATTTGGCGAATAATATATATTTATCACGCAGTTTTTTACAAGTCAATTTTTCTTTTACTCCATTTATAAATGACACTAGAATAAGGTACCTACATTACAAAGGCGCACATTACATCATTATATTATATTATATGGCATATTATTATTTGCCTAATGTAAATTATACCATTCTATTTACTACCAAAAATAATTATGACATATTATTATTATTATTATTATTATTATTACCTAATGATTTTTACCTTCTTAATAATGTATGCATGATATTTTTTTTCCACAAAAGTAACGCAGTAAGAGAATCACACAATATCATATTATTCGTTTAACTATGAAATAGTTGTTTATATTTTATAGTACCATATACTCGGAATATTATAAACATATTAAGTATCTATATAATGAATATTTAGTGACCATTTATTATATGGTTTTAAAGGGATGTCAGCGAGCTGCTTGCATAAATAGAAAATATATAACATTTCTTATCTCTGCGATTATGCACTCTGTAGCTAGTTTCATACTTTCATACTCTGCGACTGTAACACTGTATCACATAGCAAATACAAAAACCACAATTTGAATCTCTCATTTCGTGACTGTATATATTATCTTAGGTACTTAATTAGACTGAATTATTCGTGGCAAAAGTACCTAACCTATCATTATTGTTATAATTACATTACTCTGTAGCAGCATAGTAGAACGACGATGTAACATACCTACGTTGGTACGTAGTTAGTAGTTACTAGTTTCCGTAGGTTCTGAGTTTGATTTCGTGTCGAATGTTGATATCTATAGTTTGACGTTAACGTATCTATGAATAAACAAATATGAAATAGGCAACAATTTACACTTAAAATCAATCGGAATTCGGAAAGCTGAATATAGATAGCTACAATCAAAATTACCAGTACATACAGTTAATACCACGCAGTATACATGGTGTACCTGGATTTTGGAAGAATTGACATACCTACTTAAAAGTTAAATATAATTTCAGACTTCAGTGAACAATTTTAAGATTATCT